CCCCCCCTCCCCAAACCCCACCCCCTAGCCCCAAATATAATCCACTCTACAACCGCACCTTCTCTCTTGAAGCTTAATGTCTTCCTTTGTCTCTAGGTGGCATTAGACCAGGGCTGCCAACATAAGTAGCTTGTGTGAAGGGGGGTGTCTCAAGTCAGCCCTCCCTTTTGCAGAAGGCTGAGAATGCCTTTCCTCTGATTGTGTGTGTGCGTGTATACACACATATATAATAGATAATCACTTTAAAAATATTAATAAAATGCTAATTCCAAAGTAATAAAATTAACTAAGTATGAGTTCAAGTGATTTGCATTTTAGCCATTTCAGATACTTACTTCAGCTCTTGAGAATTAGCAGCCATAAGGGACTTAAGAGTCTTATCTGCTAAAGGACACCCAGAAACACTAAAAAGAAAAAAAGAAGAAGAAAAAAACAAAATGGATATATACAAATTTGACTCAGATATTGTTGAGAGTTTGCGAGCACGTATATTTGCTGAAACTATGAACTGAAAAAGAAAAAAGAAAAAACCTTGTTTGTACTTGGTTGTATTTTAACCTTCTGTATCTGCACACTCTTCAACTGATTTCTCTCAGGCTCAGATTATCAATGAGTGATATAAAAAACTCAGTTTCACCATGTCACTTACACTGAATCCATCCCTATTCTAACACGAAAGTGATGATCATTTAAATTATTTTCCTCTCAAAAGGAGGGGGGAAAAGATACATGTATTTGTAAAAAGTCAAAGTGAAAAAAATTCAATGAAATCTCCCCCTGCCATTACTACTTAGTATCCAAAAAGAGTCAGTTTTTTGTTAATCTAGTACTGGGGCTGGATGCTGTGTCTTGTAAGATTCAAGGCCAACCCAGGCTTCTTCTACTATGTCTGCTGTCTTAAAGTTAAAAAAGAAATCCAGAGACTCAACCTGATCTTGGGTGTGTAGCCTGGACTATATGATCAGAGAACAATTTTGACTCAGAATAATGATTTCTATAGTGTTATTGTTAAGTGCCATTGAATCCACTAAGATTCAAAGCTGCCTTCTGAAAAATAGACCAGTTATTTGTCCTGCCTTGTTCCATTTTCATGATTTCTAAATAAACACAAAGGCTTTTGATTTCTGAAAAACTGAACAAATAACATTTCACTAAGTTCTCTCCACTTCATGAGCTGGATGATATCTTTTTAGAGTGAGTGAGAATAAATATTTAAAGGTAGAACAAGTTGATGAAGACTTACTGCACAAGGGTTCATTAGGTACCTGCGGTGAGAAGCATAGTTTCCTGTTACATGACCACTTCCATCACATCCTGGAGTTGGGCAACTGGACAAATAAAGCAAAAGTAATAATTAGAGGTGAATGCATGTTGTGTTATAACTTGTTTCGCTTGATAGCTTACTAGATAGCTTATCTTTTAAAGTTAACACAGAACAGGATATAAATAAACTATTACACTAAGGATTTCTGTTTCTATAAGAACCATTAGACCAGTCAGTGTTACTCTCATTTTATGCCTTGGCATAGTACTGTCAGATATGTGTCAGTGTTGTTGTTGTTATATGGTAGTAATGCACAAACAGTAGGATTGCAGGTATTTCACCATTGTTGTTGCATACCATCTAGTCAGAATTGACCCAGAGCTGACCTTCCAGAAGGTTTTCAGAAGCAGTTAATAACATGAGAGGAGACTGCCCTCCTTCTTCCACAGAGATGCTGGTGGGTTTGAACAGCACATATTCAGAACTGCAGTGCAGCTTCTTACCACCAGCTCTATGTATACAATATTTTAAAAAAATCCTATGACAGATTTCTAAAGACATTTTTTTAAAAATAGACGCATTAGAAACACAATAGGACTAAGAAAAGAGGGGATAAATAATTAACATTGCTTTGGAACAGATGAAGGACAGACTGTTTAAAACGAATATATAATAAGGCATTATTTGTATGGTAATAGTCCAGAATAAGAGGTGCATAACAATGTGGACTGGAGGATGGAGGAAATTATGCAACAATGACTGAATATTTTTTTCTAAAAGTGAGCTAGGGGTAGGGAGGAAAATGTGCAATAATGAATAAATTTAAAAAAAATCCAACTTTTCATTAAACTTTCATGAAAATAACAACCTAAAAAAAAGTAAAAACCCTCAAAATAGAAACACCGTAAGATAGGCTATTCTTTTTCTAGGCTACTCTTCTTTATCAAGAAAGATTCTGCTGAAGATTACCCAGACTGGAATAGCACATCAGCAGAGAACTGCCAGAAGTCCAGGCTGGGTTTAGAAGGGGTCATGATACTAGGGATATTGTAGCTAATGTTAGGTGGATCTTAGCTCAGAGCAGGGAACACCAGAGGAATGTATATCTGCATTTCCTTGACTATGCAAAGGTGTTTGACTGTGTGGATCATAACAAACTGTGGCTGACTCTGAGAAGAATAAGAATCCCAGAACACTTGATCATGCTAATGCAAAACCTATACTTGGTCCAAGAGGCAGTCATCAGAACAGAGCAAGGGAACACTGCATGGTTCAAAACTGAGAAGGGTGTATGACAGGGATGTGTCCTGTCTTCATACTTTTTCAACCTGTATGCAGAACAGATTATCTGGGAGGCTGGGGCTCTATGAGGAGAAATAAGGGGTCAAAATTGGTGGAAGATCTATCAACAATCTGAGTTATGCAGATGACACAATCCTGCTTGCTGAAACTGAGGAGGACATGAAGCGCTTGCTGCAGAGGGTCAAGAACTGCAGCCTTCAATATGGATTGAGGCTCAAAGTCAAGAAGACAAAGATTCTCACCACTGGACCAATTGGCAGCATGAGGATGGATGGTGAAGAGACTGACATTGTTCACAGCTTTAGTTTGCTTGGCTCCACAGTCAACACTCTTGGCACCAGTAGCCAAGAAATTAAAAGATGTATTGCCATGGGAAAGTCTCCAAAGCACTGAAGAGCAATGGTGTCTCTCTGGAGACTAAGGTGCGTCTGATACAGGCCATGGTCTTTGCTATCACTTGTTATGCATCAGAGAGTTGGACAATGACTAGGGAGGATAGAAGGAGAATTGATGGCTTTGGGCTGTGGTGCTAGAGAAGAGTATTGAGGGTACCATGGATTGCTAGGAAAACAGATTCATCCCAGAAAGGGTTAAACCGGGCAGCTCCTTGGAGGCAAGGATTCTGAGACTCCATCTAACATACTGTGGACATGTTGTAAAGAGGGACCAGTCCTTGGAGGGAGACATCATGCTTGGGAGGGTGGAGGGACAGCGCAGAATGGGAAGGTCCTCTATGAGGTGGATTGATTCAGTGACTGGGGTAATTGGGATGGGTGTGTCAGAGACAGAGCAGAGCAGAGTTTAGGTCTGTTGTACATAGGGTCCCTATGAGTTGCAAGCGGCCCGACAGCACATAACATCAACAACAACAACAGGCTACTCTTCACCTCACTCAAATCCCAAAGCCCTAAGTATTTTTTCATATTGTTACTAATTGCTTCCCCACTACTCTTTGCCTCACCCAGATCCCAAGCCCTAATTATTTCTTCATATTGTTGCCAATCACTTCCCCTCTACTCTTTGCCTCACTCAGATCCCAAGCCTTAAGTAGCTCTTCATATTGTTATTATTTGCTGCCTTTTTGAATTCTTACTTCACAGGATAAAAGAAATAACCAACTTGAACCAGCTGATGCAACACCCATATTCTCCCCTGTCTACTGGTCCTGGGCCATCCTAATCCAGCTTCTGAGCCCCAGATCTTCACCCCTGTTCAGCAGGAAGTAGCCAGAAAGAATACGTTTCCCTTTTTCTCACTAAAGAGGCTGGGATGTCAGGCCAGGACCAAGGTCAAAGGGAGAATAAAGGATGCAAGGAATATCAACATCTCAGCAAAGGGAGTGAACAGCCTTAACTATGATGGAGTGGCCCCTCTTCCCTCCCTAGAAGCCCACCCACCTGGCTAAACAACAATGGAATGTCCCTCCCTTCTCTCCCTAAAAATCCTCACTATAAAACCTGCCCTAATCCACTTTAGGGTGTGGTATTTCCCTGGTTTGTCCTTCTGCCTGTTTCTCTCTCTACAGACCAAGGAATCCTGACTGGGAGACCCCTTAATAAAGCTTCTTTAGCTTCCTTTCTATCTCTGGTCTCTTCCTTGAGTCTTTGGCCTTAGGTCCAGTGCGAAGACCTAACAGTAGAGTATATCATGATTTTGAAAAGACAATATATCCCCAATACTATTGAGAAGTATAGACATTATTGTAGTCTAACAATTTAATTAAAGTTAAGTAATGAAATATAGTAAATTACATTTAGTAATAAAATCTTTGAAAGCAGAAGTGGCATCCACTTCCTAAATAACATGCCTCTGGAAACTCTATGAACTTTGATAAATGTCAATAGTTGTAGAGGGGCTTCAGGCCTTTTGTCTATAGGGTCGTTATGAGTCATCCTTGACTTGAAAGTAATCAACAACAACAACAACAACAGGCAGTTAACTATCCTGAAATTAAAGGAAAACATGCTATTGCTACTTTGGTAACATCTTTTATGCAACAGTGAAGACTCAAAATTTATGCTGTTAAAGATACAGCAAAATAATCACTATTGTAGTAAATGCGAAATATCAGATAACAAGATAATCTAGTCATTAAGAGAAGAGTAGGTGTATTGAAGAGAGTGTAAGATGTACTTCATTCTACTGATGTGCTTCATTCCACTGATCAGTCTATATAGGAAATAAATTGCCAATTAGTGTGTCAGACTCACCTTGCATTTACTTTCTTTAGTTTCTTATTCCTGTCCTTAAAGTTGTTTTTGTTAGGTGCTGCTGAATTGGTTTTTACTTATAACAAGCCTATATAACAGAGTAGAACTGCACATAGGGCTTTCTTGGCTGCTGTCTTTTCAGGAACAAATTGTCAGACCTTTCTCCCACCCAGGAACTTCAAGGTGAGTTATAATAGACAAGAGTTTGGTTAGCAGCAACAAGGAGAGATGGAGGAGTTCCAGTGACTTTCAAACTGGTCAACTATAAATTGTTGTTGTAAGTCCCTTTATATAAAATACAGTAAGTGGCTTCTTTACAAAATAGACACATTTCTTATTTATTCCCCCCCCAATATGGTTTAAGAATTTAGTCATCTTTTTTTGAATTTACTTTGTAATTAGTATTACACAATTTCTCTTTAACTACCTTCAAAGGATACAAATTTTCAATATTTTTAGGATATCCGAAGTAAAATACAGAAGGAAATGTCATCTAAAAAGTGAAAAAGTTTAACTAGCAGTCTCATATAGGCATAACATGTATGTCTGAAAGTGTCTTCTTGGGAAGAAATTGTGCTCAGTGAAATTTAAGTTTTAGTAGATTTGGTAACCAATCATTACATTGCTACAGCCACCAAGTGCTAATACATATTAAACTCTGAAAAGAGCATGATATAAAGCCAGTAATCTTTAAAATCTTCAAACAATGGCCAGATTGCAAGTACTAGGCTAAAGATTGGCAATCTCCTCCTAGCGAGATTTACTGCCTCTGAAAACTTTCTGGAGAGCCAGCTATGAGTCTGCTCTGATGTGGCGGCACATAACAACAACAAGTATATGTACTCTTTATGAGTGTGTGTATATTATAAAATATTATATTTATGGAATGGGAGCTCTGGTGACCTAGTGGCAAGAAGCTGCACTGCAATCCTGAAGACATGCAGTTCCAGCAGCTGCTCTGCAGGAGATGGTTGGTAATCTCTTCCTGTGCAGAGGCCATTGATCACACAGGAGGATATTATCCATCCTTCTCCTGAGGAGCAGCTGGTGGCCTTGAACCACTTGCCTTTGGGATTTCAGTATAACTTCTTGCCACTAGGCCATCAGAGCTACACACACACACACACACACACACACACACACTCCACACACTCTTACATACAAACTCTTTATGGTATATATTTTGTTGTTGTTTGTTATTGTGTATCATTGAGTCAGAACCAACCTATAGCTGACCCTCTGGCGTGTTTTCAGAGGCAGTAGTTAATCACATGGGATAAGAGTGCCCATCCATATATGTATAAAGACTTAACATGGACTTTAAAGTATGCCTCTCCCACATAATCTGAATGGAAGCTTCAGGACTCAAAAATTCTTTCCTTTCATCAGTTTTCTCTTTTATCATGCCCACATCATTGGTATGAATTATTTATAGCAGTGCCTCAATTCCAAAGACATGAGGTTCAAATCTACCAGTTGCTCCACAGGAGAAGGTTGGAAAACCTCCTCTTGTATAATTAACTACCTCTGAAAACACACTGGAAGGTCAGCT